AACATATGTGTACACACATTCACAGGCATACACACATACACACACACCGGCAGGCAACCTTGACAGAGAGGGTAAATGGATACAAGAAACCTGTATCTACAAGCAGAGCTCCCCATGCTGGCACTGTCTGCTTCCCACAGACCCCCTGACACTCCTTCCTGAACCCCCAGTCCCACTGAGACACAAGGACAGGGGGTCACTTTTTAATCTGACAGATGGAGAGAGAGCTTACAAGGGAAAAGCAGTGAGGACCCACCCAAAGCACCACGCCAGCTGTGCAGGGGGCAAGCGGAGGCCCTGCCCAGGCTGTGGGCTCTTTTTCCACAGAAATTGCCTAACCCCACCTGGCAAAGCTTTTCCAGAACTCAAACTGGGCAAGCAAAGAAAGATGCAGAAGCCACTGGAGCCCTCCCAGCAGATGTCATATAAGGCAATAGGTCCCAACACAGTGCTTAGACCAGGCAAGGCCAGGCCTGTCTTGGTCTCTGTCCCGCCTACTCCAAGAGGCCTCTGTAAGACCAGGACACTGGATCCACACACAGAGGTGCCCAAGGCACTAGAAAATTATGAAACAATATTCTTTTCTAAACCAGAGGATTCAGGTACTTTGTTTCCAGACTGTCACTGTCTGGACAGTTCTCACAAGGGACCAGGCATCCTGCAGGAACATCCAGGAAGGTAGAGTGTGTGCCGCTGGAAGTCAGGACAAAGACACACAGGCCAGTACAGCATGCACTCACCCCACCCCACCCCTTTCACTCCCTCCGAAGGGAACCAGGCCCTGCTGAGACTGAACTGCCCTAAAAGGCTACCAGGCATTTGGCCAAAGGGGTGAGCTGCGTTTTCCAATGTGTCCAGGGCAGCCCAGGATGCAGCAGCCTCTGCCTGTTCCTCTGTGGAAATGCTGCCTGGCACCTTGCTCCATTGCATGGCCTACATCTCCAGGGCTATGGACACATGTCACACCACTGGCTCCTCAGTTCCTAATGGGAATCATCTCCAATGTAGGTGTTTGCTCCCCCGGCGGGAAAAGCTAGGGTGTGAACTTGGTTAGGAGTTTGGGGAGTCTTTCCTGACACATTCCCACTCTGCCTGTGGCTGCAAGTACAGGGCTGCCATGCAGCCTGGTTATCTGCATGTGCTCGTTCAATCACATGGGCACTCGTGCAATCACATGGCCGAGGAGGAGAAGGCATGCACACAGTGTGGCCTAGAAGAGGAGGATTACAGTGACCATTAACCCAGGCAATGGATGGCCACACAGCAGGACGAGGCAACATCCTCATGTCGCCAGGGAGCCGTCCTGGTGTCCCCAACATGTGTGTGAGCCAGCCTCACAGGACCTGCTGCATGGGCTCATCTCCAGCAGTGTTCAGAAACAGGCAAACAAATCAGTAAGATGGAGCATCACCAGGAAAGTGGTGTCCTTTGCAGATGGGATGACTGGAAGGACCCCCCTAAGGGGGTTTCTGGAGACCAGGTGACATTCTGTCCAGAGGCTGAGTGCACACATATGGCAAACAGAAGATCCTCTTCGAGTCCCCTACTGACCAGTGACACACCCTTTCCTTCATGCATAGTTATAAGTAAACTACATGGCACCCACAGGCAATGGGCACCTGAGCCAAAGCCATACCTCCCGACCCCTAGTCTACTGTGCTGTATCACGTCACAGTCCTCATTGAAAGTCCCTGGCCCTTTCCCCAAGTGTTTATTTCCATCACAGAAGTGCAACATCTGCCTGACAAGCTGGTCTGGCCCATTTGCTGGGTAGACAAAGGGAGTTCTTCCTATATTTTGCCAAAATCTGCCCTTCTGTGGTTCTGAGCAGGCTTGTGGGGTCTGTGCTCCGGGAGCCAGCTGGTGGGTAGCGCCGCCCCATCCTTGACCGAATTTGCTGTGATCAGCAGGTGGCTCTGTCTACTTCAGGCCCCAAGACAGCCTAGCTTTTCCATCTTTTTGACCATTTTCCTTTGTGTCTGTCCTTGGAAGACCCTGAGTTGTCCATGTTACCTGTCAGGCGAGCCACTCTGCTCACAGGGCTGGAGACTGATGCTCATTTTCTTGACAACCGTGGGGG